GTGCACTTTTTCGACATCGCAACTTCCAAAAGTGGTCCGAGAATGGTGTGTTTTGTACATTTTCACTTGGATATGTGCTTCGCGCCACAACGGCGTGCAATTTTTCATCTCTCATCTGGCCAGCTGGCTCCGCACCCGCCGCTTTAGCGAGCCTACTTTTCGACCCTCCGGAGCCAAAAATCATTGGAAAAACACAATGTTTCGCGACTTTCCTACCTTTTCGCGCATCTGTATCTTCTGTCTTCTTACTCTTTCTCTTCTAATCTTTCTCTTCTCTATGCCTCTTCCCTGCTCTGCTTTTCATCTCTCCATATTGTCGGAAGTTTGACTTCTAAACTTCCTTCGAATATATATATATATTTATGTCACTTTGTGCAAAAAACTTAGCATGCGCATTCTAAGATGTACGCAGGCACTCCCTATTCTAAGTTTTGTTTGGTTTTCGGCCCCCGGTCCAATTTCCAATCCTCTACTATATATATCTATAAATGAGAGCTCATATATTCTTTCATTCATTAATTTATTTACTTGTTTTCATATCTATCTACTTATTTCTTTATCTGTTTATTTATCCATACACGCCTTCATTTCTTTATCTATTTTATACATATTTTTTTAAAAAGTGTTTGCCAGGGCCAACAGTGAAAACCTATGAACAACAAAAGAAAAACTGATGACAACCAAAGAAAACATAAGAAACCGACTCAAAGACAAATGAAAACCAACGAAAAGACATGAAAACCAAAGATAAACCAAAGAAAACCAATGAAAACCAATGAAAAAAACAATGACCAGCAAAGAACAACACATGAAAATTATTGAGAACCAAAGCAAAATCAAGGAAAAATAAGGAAAAACAATGAGGACCATAGAAAAACCAATGAAAAACCAAAGAAGGAACAATGAAAAACAATGGAAAACCAAGGGCAATTTTGCCAGCATTCTAAATTACTTTTGCCCTGGTTTTTCCGAATTTTCCATCTTTAATGGGGAAAGAAATAAGAGACAATTTTGAAAGAAAAAGGAAACCCTTGAGGTGTCTTGGAGACTGAGTGTTCACAAAACCCTTTAAATATGCAGTGAATGGACATTTTTGTTGCATATGTGTTTCAAACAGGGTTATTTTTCTGTTTGCTGTTTTTTTGGGTACCCTTATGGAGGAAAACACCCTGGCAGGAGAGAATTTAGCATGCCTTTTTTTAAAACCTAACATATGCATTTTGTATGGCCATACTGTGGTTTGATGCATGGGCACACTGAAACTTATAATGCTGACCAGTTTTCCAAAATTTAGATTTTTGAATTTAGAATGTCGCCAAAAACCACTGAAAACCAATGAAAAGAACATGAAACCAAAGAAACGCAACAAAAAAACAAAGAAAACCAATGACGAACAAAAGCAATGATAACCAAAGCAGAACAAATGAGCAATAAAAGGAACAACAAAGAAAAACAATGAAAACCACAGTCATGAATGAAAAACCAGAAAAAGGACCAACCAAATAACAATGAAAACCAATGAAAAACAAAAGAAAAACTGATGACAACCAAAGAAAACATAAGAAACCGGCTCAAAGACAAATGAAAAGCAAGGATAAACAAATGAAAATCAAAGAACAAGTAGTGAAAACCAATGAAAGCCAAGAGAAGAATAATGAACAATCATTGAAAACAATGGAAACTAAAGAAGCATGAATGAACGATAAAGAAAACCAAAGGAAAACCAAAGGAATCGCTGAAACACAAATGACAACTAACGAAAAAAAACATGAAAACCACAGAAAAAACGACAGCAAAACCAAAGAAACCCAAGAAAACCGAAGAATAACACATGAAAATTATTGAGAACCAAAGCAAAATCAAGGAAAAAATAAGGAAAAAACAATGAGAACCAAAGCCAATGAAAAACCAAAGAAGGAACAATGAAAAACAATGGAAAGCCAAAGACAATTTTGCCAACATTCTAAGTCACTTTTTGCCAGGGACTTTTGCCCCCTTTTTTTGTTCGGTTTTCCATCTTTAATGGGGAAAGAAATAAGAGACATTTTGAAGGAAAAAAGGAAACCTGTCTTGAGGTTTCTTGCAGACTGAGCGTTCACAAAACCCTGTAAATATGCAGTGAATGGACATTTTTGTTGCGTGTGTGCTTCAAACATGTTTTTTTTTATGTTTGCTGTTTTTGGGGTACCCTTATGGAGGAAAACACCCTGGCAGGAGAGAACGTAGCATGCCATTTTATACCTAAAATATGCATTTTGTATGGCAATACTGTGGTTCGGGTATCAGCACACTGAAACTTAGAACATTCACAGGCCGGCATTCTAAAATACCCTAAAAAACATTGTTTTTGGCGGCATTCCAAATTCAAATTGCCAAAAATTGGAAAACTTGTCAGCATTCTAAGGTTCAGTGTGTCGCTAACAAAGCATGCTTGCATACCTTTGAATCTGCAAGTAGACTATATATACACATGTTGTGTTTGCGTGAATGGTCAGCGCCCTTAAACTCCATGGTTAGTGAAGACTTATATAGACAAACCAAGAGAACATTCCACAGAACTGCACGGTGTATCAGCTGCATCTGCTGCGATGTTTCGGGCAAAAAGGCGACAAAGTTCATGAAGGAAGACGGGGCTTGTTTCAAGTTTTTTTTTTGGGTATATCCTAGAGGAAGACAATTCCTTTTAAAGAAAAGCCCTTTTGTGGACCAATGCTGCCCCTTTTCACAGCATGCACATGTTTTCGAGATAGAAACTGAATTTGTTTTTCTCAAGGAATGCTCAGGTTCAGAAACAATGAATTCATGTGGGAAAAAGGCGGCCACACCTTTGAAAACACAGCGCTTCCTCTAGAGTCTAGAGGATGACTGAACGCTGAAAGACTACAGAGTGTGTGAAACAACACCCCCCTTTCCTGGGAACAAAGCTCCCAAAAAGCTAAAGCAATGTCTCGGAAGAATGCTGCATTCCTGACAGCTCTGAGTTTTCTTGTATGAATCCTGATCTCCTCGAAGGAAGGCTTGTTTTGTCTTGATAGATCCTGCATTTTGCAGCTGTAAACTGTACCTGTCAACAGCTACCCCAAGAGCATCTCATATAAATACATGTGTTTTGATGTCTAGGCCATCAACACTTGAGGCCCAAGGGGGGGGGTGAACCAAAGCCAAGGTTAATATGAGCCTGGAATCATGATAGGATTTTGCTGGAAATTTAATATGCTGAATACAGATTGCCTAGAGACCTGGCAAGATTTGAGGCCGTGACCACCTGCTTCCAACACCGCTTCAAAATGCCCCGAGAGCTTTGAGGGGGTTCGAGTGAAAAATCACAGTGCTGGACTCAGGCCTGCCCCTCTCCTTGCTGAAGCAAGGTTAACTCCAGCTACCGCTCGCTAGCCGCTAGCTTATCATCAGGGAGGTTCAAATTCTGACCCCGAAGGGGTGCGGATTACACACACATACATCATTAAATAAACTATATAAATTTAGTTTAATGTAAGCCTCGGCACCTTCATATGTGGTCGCATGTCCCGTGTTCCCACCCCCCTGGGGGATGGGTCCCCAGGTAGCACCCCCTTCCCTTGTATTTGCAAGCTATTGGGCTTCCCTTGTATTTGCAAGCTATTGGCAGCATTTCTGAGTCCAGCCTCGTGGTTGCGCGGTCTTTGCAGCATTTCTGACTACCAGCCTCGCATATGCTAGGTACATGCTACCTTTTAGCCAACCTACGTAACACACATACTCCCTCAAAGTACCTACGCGCTACCTATAGTCATATATACATGTGCTATGTATCTACTTCCTTTTCTCTACATATATACACATGTATACATATGTGTATGTATATACGCACATGTATACATATATACATGTATACATAAATATGTATACATATATATACACATACATATTTGTGTATATATATATATATATTCACATGTAAACATATACATATATATACATAAGTAAATATAGATATTTATACACATACATATTATAGAAATACATTAAACACTGACATATGTATATACATATGTACATATATATCTATATTTATTGTCCAGCGTTCCAACGCCCCCCCGGCAGTACCGCACCCCCACCACACCACAGAGGGGGAGAGGGGGACTGTTATATACAAAAAGACAGACACATACATACATACATACATACATGCATACATACACAGACAGACATACAAACATAACAAACATTACATACACACATACACACAGACACACACATACATACATACATACATACATACATACATACATACATACATGCGTACGTACGTACGTACATACCTACCTACCTACATACACACATACATAGATACATAACATTACATTACTTTACATTTACATTTGCACCTACATTTACATTACATTACATTACATTACACTACATTACATTACACTACATTACACTACATAAAAAATACACACATACATACATACATACATACATACACACACAAACGGACATACAAACATTACAAACATTGCATACACACATCACACAAACACACACATACACACCGTCACCAACATCCCAAACACCCCACCACCACAGGCCGCAGGGGGGGAGGGGGGAACCATAAGAAGCAAGACTGGCCACCCATCACCAACATCCCAAACACCCCACCACCACAGGGGGGAGCCATAAGAAGCAAGACTGAACACCCATCCCCATTGGGGGGAGGCTGGCCGACGCTGAACCACATATAAGCAGACGAAGATATTCTATGATTGTGCCAGCCATGTACATGATTGGTATACAGTAGTCCGATGAACTACTTATGTACTCTTGTGGGGGCAAAATTCCTTCTTGTGTTTCAAGCTTTGGGTAGAATAGGCAGCACTATCATGCAAATATAGCTTGAACTAACGTGAACTAACTAGCAATGCTTATGTGCTGATGAAAACACACCATCCACTCCCATATACACGAGGAAAACAACTGATGGCGAAAAGCCGCGTCTTTGGGGTGATGTGGCTACAGTCCTCAGCACAGCCTCCTGCATCTCTGCATTCTGCGCATTGATCAGCAAAAAGAGTGTCTCATCCCAAAAGATCTGTGACATAACCCTCACACGTTTCCAGCGAGGAAGGCGCGTTGCATCATGAGTTCGAGTTGCATCTTTGGCCTCAAACATGCCGAAAAGAACCAAAAACTGAATCCAACTCGTTTATGCTACACCGCTGTCGTGTCTGAAAGACCCAAGAGCAGACCGCCGAAGTGTCGAAGAGCCGCTTTCGAGTTTAAGCACGCAACTGCCTTATCTTATCATTGACTTACCATCTACCTGTCCTTGCCCACCAGCTGCTCTGTCCTTGCCTCACCCTCAGCTCCTGCGTGATGTTCCAAAAGTTCGAGAAAATTCTCGAGGCCCCATTCCAAGATTGCGGAGAAAGTTGCCTTCATCACATGTGGATGCGCCGAGACATGTCAAATCGGGTTGAATGGTCCCTGACTGTGGAATCTTGAGCGGCAGCAGATCAGCTTCCAAAAACCTTCCTGAAAAAACTGGTTTCAGCCAGGTTGTTGCTGTGCTGCTCCGATGATCGGAGAAAACAATAATACAGATGTGCCAGACTGCCCGATTCATGACTGCAATTCCGACATACATTATATAGCCGCTTTATAGTTCAAGGACGACAACAAGCAAGTTCCCTGAAAAACTTTTCAGCAAGAGTTTCTGACTTTCAATGTCCTCATCAAGGTGCTCTTTGAGTGCTGTTGTGATATGTTGTGATATTTGGTTTAGGCATCTGTCTTTTTGAAAAGGCCAAACCAAAATAGCCATGCAAAAAGGCATCAGGACAAAAGGTAGAAAGGTCACCAGTCAGGCTGCGTAGCTCTGTAATTTGATCAAATGGTCCATTCGCCAACCGCTGTGACCGCGATGAAGAGAAACGTTTGGATGCAGATGGAGAACTTTTTTTTCGGATGGTACATGCACATGTCCACGCTGAGTTAGATTGTAAAAAAATGAAAGTCCGTTTTTCCACAAGCAAGAACTGGAGCAAGTAATGAAATCCACAAGTGGCGGAAGTCAGCTAACGCTATCCTTTTGTAAAAGCTTCCAGCCGGGAATCAAATCTTTGACAGCGTCAAGGCCTGCATGGTAACGCGTTGAAAGGTAATCCCGTGGGGAAGCCTTTGCTTCTTGCGACGCGCATCAAGCTTCAAGACAAAGAACAAATCAAGGCAAATCATTGAAGATGATGCCTTGTTTTAGAGTACTAGAAGTGGCAATGCAGGCAATTGTGCAGGTATCGAAAGAGGGCCAGCAGCTAGAGATTGGCTTGGAAGAACAAGGAAAGCGAATCTATGTTCCCTCTTGGTTGCAATGAACGATGGCCTGTGTTTCTGAGCTGTTGCAAAATCCTGCAGTGCTGCACCGGCTTTTGACAACACTGGAAGGAATTGTTTGTCTGTCTCTGCAAGAGCATGTAGCCACACCATTTCCGCCTGGTTCTCCTGGCGGTGACTGAGCGGCTGGCAGATTTACAGCTCCGTTCTTTGTCATGCTGGATTCATTCTTCATGCTTGCACGCGCAGCTTACTTGTGGTGTTTTGTGCTCTACCGGCCTTGCGGAATAATGGTTCCCCATCTTTGCAGGTTAAACTTTTACTGGCCATTTGGAATTATGTGCCTGGATGGTGAAAGATTTTTCTCTGCTTGACACATGCACCAACTTCCTTGAATTTGTATAATCGGCTGTTGTAGGGTCCCCGGCAGCTTCTTTCAGTGACTATGGGAAAACCAGTTGCAAAACACTAGCATTGCCCTCGGAGATTTTTGGCTAAAACCAATTCTTTTTCGGACAAAGAAACTTGAATCGTATGGAAGCGTCTTGCTACACCAACCACCGCAGAATAATTTGCGAGGTGGTGGAACACACTTTTTTGGCTCCGACACCCAGTTTGGCTGCAGCTTGCAATTTGGCCGCAAATTGTTTCCCCCAACACGAAGGGGTCGCTATTGATATACCTTGAATTATATCGCGGGTTTGAAGAAAGATATTGGTCAGCATTCGGCATTTTGATGGTGCAGCCAAGGGGCATGCATGAGCTGTCTGTAGTGGTTCATGCTGTATATAGATGTAATGTCTTCATGTGCCTTGTACTGTTTGATTTTCGGGTCTTACCATGGTTTTCCTGACTGCTCGGTTTTGCGCGCCTCGCTATCGATAGTCATCGACCGTCGCCGGCGGCGAGCAGTTGAGCTGCTCGATCTAGCAAACAGCTGAGCTTCCCTGTTCTATGGGAATGGCATCGTGGGAATCAGTATAATCACATCGAAGAGATCGAATCAACATAAGCCCTTGAAATATGTTACAACTTCTATAGATTGTTGAGGATTGGTTCATGAAACGCTGTGGAAATGCGCGGCAACTTGGAACCTAAAGTCTTGAGGAACTTTCAACATACTTGGTGCCTTTGCATATTGTCCTCCTTGTTGTCCTTGTCCTGATCTTGGCCCTCCTATATGCACGAACATGTGGAAAGCAACCATGCTGCGCTCATGCCACCTACAATACTGCAGGTGCTCTGACGTATTCTGTCGCTTAAACTCAAACTGACAAGGCACAATGCAGAAGCACTTGCAGATGATGCCGGATGCTGTGAAAGAATCGCAGACCGTAGGACCAGAATATCGTCTCCCAGAGTGCAACAGAAACTACTCAAGCCAAATCTACTCATGGTTATAGAATGAGGATCTATAGCGTTGAGTGCTCCATGCAAAATACCCAACCAAGTCTTATCCCCTTGATCTGTTCAAAGCTCTCTCTGCACATGATGCAGAATTTGCCGGCAGCTGCCGACAACCAACAAAGCACATGATCGAAATATTGCTAACAATAAGGTTTAAATCTATGCTTGTCCCAATCCATCAAAATTTGCCCCCGGCCCTGCAAGTAATATTTGTTTCTCTACTGGACTAGGGATCCCTTGGATGTTTGACGCCTGACAATGCCCTACAACTGCAGCTTCCTCGGCGCTAATGGAGCGGACAGCAAGATGGTAAGCATGGGCCACAGCCTGGCAAATACTACGGTTCAAAATGGAGCAATGACATGAAAATACGAAACAAAAAAATTAACCGTAAAATACCGTGAATATCATCGAAGGAAGTTTAGAAGTCAAACTTCCGACAATATGGGCAGATGAAAAAGCCGAGGTGGGAAGAGTCAGAGAAGAGAAGAGAAGAGAAGAGAAGAGAGGAGAGGAGAGGAGAGGAGAAGAGAAGAGAAGAGAAGAGAGGAGAGAAGAGAAGAGAAGAGAAGAGAGGAGAGGAGAGAAGAGAAGAGAAGAGAAGAGAAGAAAGAAGATCAGAGAAGAGAAAGAGTCAAGTCAGAAGACAGAAGATGCAGGTGCGCGAAAAGGTTGCAAAGTCGCACGTCACTGCGTTTTTCCAATGATTTGTGGCTCCGGGGCATCCAACACGAAGGTGTTATCCCTTCCAACCCGCTCCCGCTGGGACCCTGTCAACTCAGGAAGCCCCATGGGATGTTTCTCAGAGCGTACGGGGCCTGGGTATGGGCCTACCATCCCCGAAGTCTCAAGGTATCTCGCGGGCCCTGCTTTTTGTCGAGCTGTCCTGAGCTGCTGCGATGAAGCACACCGATTGCAGCTGGTCATGGAGCGAGTGTTGCCTCCGTACATCGGCAAGATCATGGCTGCTGTCCAACAGCCAGTCAACCGAGATGGTCTCCCATCCGCATAAGATGAATGCCTTCGACAGAGGAATGCTAGGACCGGCATAGAGGTCGCTAAACTGCCCAGCAGGCATACTCGCATCATCTGCTGGGCACCCTCAAGGCGATACCTTCGCCCTGCACTGCAGCACCCCATGCCCCGGCATACCGCGTGCACGATCGCCTCGGACTACCACTCCACATCTATGATGCCCTCGGGGGCATGATCCTTTGGGGTTCCGGCACTGGCCCTGTTGGAAAGTCAGGGTTGTCCAAATGACCCTCTTGAAAATCAAATGATGAAACCAAATTCTGAGTCCCACAAACAAAATCAAACAAACAAATGATGGCAATCAGCTGGGTTTCTTTTTCGCACACAGATCGGACTCCCCCTATTAACTATTGAGTTTTTGTTAGTTCGATCACCAAAGGGTGCTTTACAAAGATGAAGGCTTGGCTGGAGTGACAAGTTAACTGGATTTCCTCGAGATGAAACTCTATTTGCTGTAGTATTTTTGTTGAGTAAATTGTGTTTTATTTGCATCCGATTGATATCAAAGAGAATAGTTTAGCCTGGTTTTCATTTGTTTTGGGCCTTATTGAAATCAAATAAATTATGCGCTCCGGAGTGTGCAATGTATTTTAAACAATAGTCAAAACCATTGAATACCAGGCCACGCTATCAACTCAAATATATCATACCTCATGGAATCCTCATGGAATCCATGAAACTTCCTGTATCTTTCGATTTGTTAAACAACAGTTAAACTAAATCACGCGCTCCACAGCGCGCAATTCATTCAAATAAAGTTCAAAGCCATTTAGTACCAGCCTAAACCATTGTGGACATGAAGCCTACTTTATTCAACAAACATACTAAAATAAATTACGCGCTCCGGAGCGCATAATTCACCATATCAAGTTCAAAGTCATTTGGTACCAGCCTAAACTATTGTCTTGCTGCGCAATTCTTCTTGAAGGCGGAACGGCGCGAACCCCATTGTTGAGTGATTCTTCTAGAACAGGGATTAGCCCGAACCCCACTGTTGAGTGATTCTTCTTGAACGGGGATTGACCCGAACCCCACTGTTGAGTGATTCTTCTTGAACGGCGATTGGCCGAACCCTACTATTGAAAGATTCTTCTTGAACGGGGATGGCCGAACCCCATTGTTTACTGGTTCTTCTTGAATGGAGATTGGTCTGAACCCCACTGTTGAGTGATTCTTCTTGAACGGTGATTGGCCGAACCCCATTGTTTAGTGAATCTTCTTGAACGGGGATGGGCCCGAACCACACTGTTGAGTGATTCTTCTTGAACGGGGATTGGCCCGAACCCCACTGTTCAGTGATTCTTCTTGAACGGCAATTGGCGGAACCCCACTGTTCAGTGCCGAACCCCCCATTGTTTAGTGGTTCTTCTTGAATGGAGATTGGTCTGAACCCCACTGTTGAGTGATTCTTCTTGAACGGGGATTGACCGAACCCCACTTTCGAGTGATTCTTCTTGAACGGCGATTGGCCGAACCCCACTTTTGAGTGATTCTTCTTGAACGGCGATTGGCCTGAACCCCACTGTTCAGTGATTCTTCTTGAACGGGGATTGGCCGAACCCCATTGTTGAGTGATTCTTCTTGAACGGGGATTGGCCCGAACCCCACTGTTGAGTGATTCTTCTTGAACGGGGATTGGCCCGAACCCCACTGTTGAGTGATTCTTCTTGAACGGTGATTGGCCGAACCCCACTGTTGAGTGATTCTTCTTGAACGGGGATTGGCCCGAACCCCACTGTTGAGTGATTCTTCTTGAACGGGGATTGGCCCGAACCCCACTGTTGAGTGATTCTTCTTGAACGGGGATTGGCCCGAACCCCACTGTTGAGTGATTCTTCTTGAACGGGGATTGGCCCGAACCCCACTGTTGAGTGATTCTTCTTGAACGGGGATTGGCCCGAACCCCACTGTTGAGTGATTCTTCTTGAACGGGCATCCTAGGCAATGAGTGAAATCTACTCAATTAGGTAGTAAGGAAAAACCTAACCCCCTTGTTGAGTGATTCGCGTTGAACGGGTCAACAAGGGAGTGAGGAAAAACCTAACTCCCTTGTTGAGTAATTCTTGTTGAGTAGGTGACATCAATTGGAACACAAAGGGCCCAACAAGGGAGTGAGATAAAACGTAACTACCCTCTTGAGTGATTCAACTTGAATCACTCAACAAGGGAGTTAGGTTTTTCCTAACTCCCTTATTGAGTGGGTTTGTGTTTTGCCAAGATTCCACCGCCAATCGAAGCTGATGGCTGATCCAATCCAGCTGCGGAATCATGTGGGGACAATTCCTCCCCTAAATGCAGAACATCACCATCAGCGCCAAACAGGCAATAGAAGGGAGTGGAGATGGAAGAAAATGGCGAGTCCATGTAACCACACTTAATGGTCACTTTATAGTGTCTCCATTTCCCACCACCAAAAAATGATAAACAATTTGAAAAAATATACTTAGACAAGTAGATTACTGCTTTCATAAAAGTGAGCATGTACATGCCCACAGTAATGGTAGCATCAAGCTGCGGAATGAATCTGAACATATCTGAGCCCAAGGGCCCCAACAAAGATGTTGGTATATGGAGTCCGTAGCCTGATGTCAAATGGTTTTGAATGCCATTTAAAGTAAATTACACCTTCAGTATTTGAATGTGTTGAACAAAGTACGTTTCATTTAGTTACATGGGATCAACATGCGAGACAATAGTTTAGGCTTGTAACAAACGGCATTGAACTTTATTTGAACAAATTACGCGCTCCGGAGCGCGTAATGATTACGCGCTCCGGAGCGCGTAATTGACTTTAGTATTTAAATGTATTGAATAAAGTACATGTTTCTTACATTGGGTCCAATAATATAGGCCCTATAGGCTGGTACTAAATGGCTTTGAACTTTATTTGAACAAATTACACGCGCTCCGGAGCGCGTAATTATTACGCGCTCCGGAGCGCGTAATTGACTTCAGTAGTTACATGTGTTGAAAAAAGTGCGTTTCATTTAAATACATGGGATCAGCATACGAGACAATAGCTTAGGCTGGTACTGAATGGCTTTGAACTTTATTTGCATGGATTACGCGCTCCGGAGCGCGTCATTGTTACGCGCTCCGGAGCGCGTCATTATTACGCGCTGTGGAGCGCGTAATTGACTTCAATATTTAAATGTGTTGAAAAAAGTGCGTTTCATTGGGTCACTATACAAGACAATAGTTTAGGCTGCTACAGAAAAATTGAGCTAAATTCCAACAGTTAAAAGTGATTTTCTGAATGATATCAAATGGAGCTTTTGGACGACCCTGAAAGTAGTGCGCAAACGGGTCCCATCCTTCATCACCTTGGCTGTCTTCTTACCATTGACTGGCTTGCCCAAGACCATCTGCGAAGGGGGGCACTGCTGGAGGAAAGCGGCCCGTCTCTGTCCTGGTCACTCCATGGCAGGTACCGGGCAGCATCCAGTGGGCATGCCTTCCCACGTCTCCTTGATCACTTAGCGCCTTCGAAGACTCACGGAACTTGGATACCCATTCGGATCTGTCCTCCAAGTCTCTTGCCTCCACCCATGCCAACCTCTGCGACATTGGAAGAAGGCTAGATTGCCGCTTCGCTCTGTAGAAGTAGTTCATCACGATATCGCGACTGACTTCTCCTCTGAGGCATCCTTGACATTAGCCCTGGGGGCCACTCCCGCCAAAGCACATGCCAACAAAAAGGTCCGGAGGCGATCATGTAGCCTTCCCGTCGTGTGGTGCCTTCTCCTCCGCGTCAGCCTCCTCCCCCTCAGCTAGCTTCCGCTTCTTCTTTGTGGTGTGCAATTGGTACTGCAAGGTTCACACCTTCCAGAGTTTGTATACACAGAGCATCCTCTTAGCCAACTCTCGGCTGACCCTGGAAAGTGTCGCATCGGACGGATGCATCTCCGGCGGGAACCTGGTACGGTATCGAATCCAAAAATTCGTTTTCACATTCCGCAGCTCAGGAGTCTGCCAGCATCGTATCCAGGTCGCTAAGCCTAACCTTAGACCTGTCCTGGTGTTGGTTCTTGTAGTACCACATGACCGCCGTCCAGACGCGCCTGAGCCGGGCTCCCTGGAGCATCCTGACCTCGCGCAGCTGAAGCTTAGTCAGGAAGGGGTCAATCTTGGTCTCATCCTCAAACAAGTATCGGAGCTCCTCCAGGTTATGGATCTTCGTCGCCAAGAGCGCCTTGGTGACCACCCGTTCAGACCTAAGGCCTCCATTGTCTCTTGGAAGGTGGTGCTCTCCACCGGAACTAACTTCACACTATTCATCTTCCTCAAGGTAGCTCCTTGTGTGACTTGAACATCCACTGCTACCCGGATCCCACTCATGCCTCAAACATGTCGGCAGCCACCTGCACGAATAGACCAGGAAGGCGACTGGGGGGGTAAGCAAGGTTCTCAGAGGGGACACAGATTGAGAATTCTCTTCCTGTCCTGGTCATGACAAAATAAGATAAAATAAGCGCATCCTCACAGAAAATGCCGTGCTGGCTCACTTCATTGACCTGCCAGGTTAGATAGCATCAATCTGTAAAACTCATCCCTCCAGGATGTGTGATCACTCGGCTGTTTTCCACGCAAATCTTCACAATTTGTTAACCCACAATGTAAACGTTGGCATACGGGTAAGCTATGGACAAAGGCGGTCAACCTGCCAAAATCGGCACTGTGCGCCCCAAGCGACTTCATGGTGCGCCCCTGTGATGTCTCAACGGGGAAGCCAGCTCGCTGCTGCTCGCACCAAACAATTATCACAAAAAGAACGACCCCAAGCTCTCTCATGTCCTTCGCACGCATCGGCTGCACTAGACGAGCCGCTCGCTCCTGGGACCGCTTGTGCGAACATAAAGCCTGGCCATTTTGGAGCTCCAAGTGAACTTTCGATCTGGCCGTTGCGATGTAGCCGCATGGTGCAGGAAGCGGATTGCTGAGGGTGCTGGTACGGATGGCCGCGTCAACCCACGGACGCATCCCTTCTTCCCCGATGATCACAGGGATGTCCAGCGTCTTGCGGCAGCTTTTCACATATGCCAGAGCCAGCAATGCTCGAAAAACACAACCTCCAAGCCCCGCACGGTGTCGACCAGAAAGATCAGAAAGACAATGGATGAGAGCCGTCTCACCTGCATACATCGAATTGCGCAGAATGGGCCAGACCTCCTCAAAGTCCGGGGTCCGAGAACCCTTGAGCAATGCAAGGGGACTATATGCATGCGATCTGCAGGGTAACTCCCTGAGGAAAGCGATGCCAAGTGCCCTTCAAGCTGGGTGCTTCGGCCGTCTTCCCATGGACCGTGGCCAGACGGTCAAACTTCCTGTCAGGAGACGACCTCAGGGATGGGAAAATCATCCTCCTCAATCTCGATTTCTTCCTCAGAGCTGGCTCCGCTGGGTCAGGAGGTCGCCCCTCCTGCGCTTTGCTCGTAGGCTTGGCCTTAGCAGAGCTGCCACCACCTTCCCCCGGAATATCCAACTTCCTGTCCTTGCACTCTCCACATCACGGCACAAAGGTTCCCAGGCACTCCTCCTTGCACCAAGAGGAAGGATGAGAAACCAAAGGCGAAGACTCCTGCAGTCCCAGCCAAAGCCTCGCCTGCCAAAGCATCCGTTGCAGCCGCTCACCGGTCTGATAGGCCCGGCCCCACACGGTGGTGCTCCATTCTTCATGAGCGCCGACATCTTGTTCAGGCCACCTTTTTGCTGCTGCGCTCTGCGTCAGCGCCTCGGTGACCTGGAAGCGGGCTGTCAACTCAGCCTTAGATACTGGGGCTGCCCAGATCACTCTGGGCTCTGCTGCAAGACCTTGTCAACATTGGCCCTGGCATACTCCAGTGCTTCCTGATAGGTCTGCTCGGGGGGGTGGTCTCCCATGCCTCATCGTCCAGCAGCTTGTCCATGGCAGCCGCAAGATGCGCTTGGTCCTCAGCGAGTGCTCATACCGAGCTGCACCGTAGTGGAGGGGCATGGTGGCCTCCTTCGGGATCTGACTGCGATCCGCCCAGTCAGTGAGCACATCTCCAACTCATTGCTGCTGCCGTTGGTCCTGCCCTCCTCCAGGAGTATGACGACAAGTCCTCCGTGTTCTGCACCAAGTGCTCGAAAACTTCCTGGTTGAGGGTGTTCACGGACTGCAACGTGTATGCGGTGCCCTTCGCATCGAAGGACAGCCCGGCCTTCCCCTGCTCCTTTTTGAGCGCCCAGTAGTCTCGGTATAGCGCCGAGCCCCATGCCCAACCGTTCACAAACTTGGGTGGGGCGCAGAGGGAAAGTGCTGGGGGTGATCTTCACAGGGCGAGCCCGCATGATGTGCTTGTGCCTCAAGACACCAAAGGCCACCAACCAGGACGAAAGCAAACATCGCCATCGCGGGTCCTCCGCCTCATACAACGACTGGATCTTCTCTTCCAGAGCAGCAATCATCGGTGGCTCAACCGCCGCTGCCTGCTCCGGGTTAGCTGAATGGAATGCCCTATTGGTACCGGCTTGGAGGAACCCATACAAATCAAGGGCATCTGGAAGAGCTGGTCCTTCTGCTCCATGTAGGTCTTGAGTTCCGCCCAAGATTTCAAAGCATTCACCACCGTTGCACCTTCGGCCTCCGTGACCTTTTTCTTGGCTAAGGTGTCAAGTGCCTCTTGCCACTGTGAATACCGCTCTGGTGTCAACTCACCCTGAGGCCGCATCACTTTGGCTTGGGAAAAGGCCCTGCGTTGAGCTTCGGCCCGAAGAAGAATCTGCTCAGGCTGATCTGGTCCAGGACGGATTCGAAGGGCCTGCTTCATTTTGCTGCACTTCAACATGGATGCCTTAAGCGCCGGGATGTTGCACTTGAGGGATAAGGTCATCCTCCATGCACTGAGAGCGAGCTTGAAGCCAGGCATCCGCTACATGATGTCCTCCATGAGCCACGGCACTGTCGTAGGTGGAGAAGGCAAAGGCGAAATCCGTAGGGTCCTGGAGGCCCCACTGGGTTTTCCATTGCTCCACCCGCATCGCCGCCATGGTATGCCAAAGTGAGGGCGTCCGTGCTGGGCCTGAAAGTGCAGTGTTGACCTCAGCTGCATCAGCAACCCCAACAACATCACTAGGCTGCAGTAGCCACTGCTGAACCCTGACGGAGAGCGGGGTGACAACCTGGACATTGGGTGGGTGGACATGTGCTGCAGACAGAGGAAAAACACCTGGCACACAGCTCAGGCGTTTCGATGTGAGCGACAAGCCATAGACGTTGTCCGGCACAAAGTCTCCCCCTGTCCATGCGTGCGCACAAGCTCGATGAGAAGCAAGTCCAACTGCGCCTCATCAAGACGCGCATAGTAGGATTGCCAAGCATACCGCGGGTCACGCCCGGGCAGAGCCAACACTGCTGAGCCATTCCGCGCTCCGATCCACGGGAACTTGAAACCCGCCAGGAACTCGGAACACCGTCTACAGTCTACAGTGTGCAACCATGCAGGGTGCTCTCTTGAAGGGGGCAGCCCCTCAACCCCCAAGCTGATTGGATGAGGGGGAAAGTGGTCGATCTGACAAACGGATGGCCACAGCCGGACGGCCTTGGCTGTCTGACCTTGTTGAAGCAGACCTTCCACATGGGTCTTGAGCTTGTAGTAGGCCGCAGCATGGAGTACCTCGGCATCCGTATGCGCTGCGGCATTCCACCCCGGGCGCACGATGATCTCTCGCCCTAGTAGCGGCCCTGGAAGCCACAGACCTCTATAGGGTAAACGCCCTAGTAGTGGCACACTACACCACGTACCTCTAGGGAAACGTCCTAGCAGTGGCTTGGGTAATACCCAAAAGAGAAAAGCAGATGAGGCCAGTTTGGCTCACCCTTGAGCCAAAATGTATTCATCAGCTTACATGCCCACCCTAATGATAGTGCACACCCACAGCCTGCCAAACACGGTGCATACATATATATACAATTACAACTACACTGCATTACACAATGCTACGCTACACAAATTACATTGCATTACGCTACAACTACAAATGCAGCCGCAACTACAACCACAACTACAACTACAACTACCGCTACATTACACTACACTACACCACAGTAATTACACTACACTAATAACGCTACTCTGCACAAATTGCACCACACTAACTACACTGCAACTGCAGCTACACTACACTAGACTACACTACACTATACCACGCTACAGTACACAACACTACAGTACACTACAATACGCTACACTAATTACACCACACCACAACTACAACTGCAACACAACTAGACTAATTACACTACATTACAACTACAACTCCACTACAGTACACTATAACTACAACTACAACTGCACTACACCATAGTTATGGTGAGGTGACCGCTGCAACCATTGCAACCGCTCCAAGAAACACAACTCCAACCACCTTTCGGTCCATCTGTGGATTCGCTCTGCCATCCGTGATTCACAACAACTAACCTCTCCTATAGGGTTCCTATTTTTTGAAACTTCCGCCACCGCCTTGTGCGGTACTACTGGTGTGATAGCATCGTACATGTGCTTATGAAATCATGGACAGCGTCACCAGGGTTCCACAATTCTGACGCGGCTTCTGGTAGTTTGACCCAAACTGTGAAGGCAACCGTCTCCTCAAATCTCCTCTCCGCTGTCATACTGACATGGACCTTGAAAGCAGTCATGGACGTCTTTGCGGATGACTGGATCTGTTGAAAACGCTCCAGCGTGAGAACGCGGGAGCTTTCCGAGCTCTCCTCCTGCAGAACGACTTTGCCGCTGCAAATGAGCATGCAAGTGAACGTAGTAGTGATATGAAGTCAAAGCCTTTGCAATAAGTCATAGAAGCAAGGGATACTGAGACAGCTGATCAATGCTGATCAATGGCAGCCGAGTCCAAACGCTGGCCTTCTCTTTGTCTGGTATGTTTTCTTGTTCGCCATCCTTCCGCATGCAGAAACGACGCCTTTTCAAAATATGCTACGTCAGTGCTTAGAACCCGGAACATGCTAAATAAACATGCGCAATTAAAGGACCAGATAACCCCACATGTTAAGCCTTCCGATTGTTATGAGACGAGGGTGATGACTTGGGATATCTTGGGATGGTGGGAGCAGATAGGTGGATAGATAGATAGATAGATAGATAGATAGATAGATAGATAGATAGATTAGTCAGATAGATAGATAGATAGATAGAAAGAAAAATAGATAGAGAGATAGGGAGATAGAGAGAGAGAGAGTGAGAGATAGATAGATAGATAGATAGACAGATAGATAGATAGACAGATAGATAAATAGATAGATAGACAGACAGATAGATCGATGGATGGATGGATGGACAGATAGATAGATAGATAGATAGATAGAGAGATAGATAGATCGATGGATGGATAGATAGATAGATCGATCGATAAATAGATAGATAGATCGGAAACCACTCTGAAACCAGTCGGAAACCAGTCTGAAACCAGTCGGAAACCAGTCTGAAACCAATCATGCAGAAACAAATCGGAATCCAGTCGAAAACCAGTTGGAAACCAGTACTACTCCTCACATGAGCAAACTACTTCCCAGTACTACTGTGTACTACAAAGCACGCATAAACTACTTCCCGGTACGACATTGCACTACAAAGCTCGCACAAACTACTTCCCAGTACTACTTTGTACTACAAAGCTTGCACAAACACGTTCCCAGTACTACCGTATACTACAAAACCCGCACAAAGTCGCTTCAGTACTACCGTATACTACACAGCTCTCACAAAGTCGCTCCCAGTACTACCGTATACTATAAAACTCGGAAACCTGTCGGAAACCAGTCGGAAACCAGTCGGAAACCAGTTGGAAACCAGTCGGAAACCAGTTGGAAACCACTCGGAAACCACTCTGAAACCAGTCGGAAACCAGTCGGAAACCAGTCGGAAACCAGTCTGAAACCAGTCGGAAACCAGTCGGAAACCAGTCGGAAACCAGTCGAAAACCAGTCGGAAACCAGTCGGAAACCAGTACTACTCCTCAAATGAGCAAACTACCTCCCAGTACTACTGTGTACTACAAAACACGCATAAACTATTCCCAGTACGACATTGCACTACAAAGCTCGCACAAACTACTTCCCAACACTACTTTGTATACTACAAAGCTTGCACAAACACGTTCCCAGTACTACAGTATACTACAAAACCCGCACGAAGTCGCTTCACTACTACCGTATACTACCAAGCTCTCACAAAGTCGCTCCCAGTACTACCGTATACTACAAAACTTGCACAAACACGTTCCAGTACTACCGTATACTACAAGACTCGTACAAACACGTTGCAGTACTACCGTATACTACAAAACTTGCACAAACACGTTCCAGTACTACCGTATACTACAAAACCCGCACAAAGTCGCCTCAGTACTACCGTATACTACAAAGCTCGCACAAAGTCGCTCGTATACTACAAACCTTCCACAAACACTTTCCAGTACTACCGTATACTGTATACATCTGTATACTACAAAACTCGCACAAAGTCGCTCCAGTACTACCGTATACTACAAGACTCGTACAAACACGTTGCAAAACTACCGTATACTACAAAACTTGCACAAACACGTTCCAGTACTACCGTATAGTACAAAACTCGCACAAAGTCGCTCCAGTACTATCCTATACTACAAAACTTGTACAAACACGTTGCAGTACTACCGTATACACCAAGTGCTGCGCCTGCCACGCAAGACAGCCGCGGCGTCAACAGCGTCAACGGCGTCAAGCAGCCCCCAGAGAGTCACCACGTGCTGCGCCTGCCACGCAAGACAGCCGCGGCGTCACAACGGCCTCAACAGCGTCAAGCAGCCCTCCAGAAAATCTGCAAGTGCTGGGCGTCAACGGCGTCAACGGCGTCAAGCAGCCCTCCAGAGAGTCACCAAGTGCTGCGCTGACACGCGAGACAGCCGCGGCGTCAACGGCGTCAACGGCGTCAAGCAGCCCTCCATGAGTCACCAAGTGCTGCGCCTGCCACGCAAGACGGCCGCGGCGTCAACGGCGTCAACGGCGTCAAGCAGCTCTCCATGAGTCACCAAGTGCTGCGCCTGCCACGTGAGACAGCCAAAGCATCAACGGCGTCAACAGCGTCAACGGCGTCAACGGCGTCAACAGCGTCAACGGCGTCAAACAGCCAGAGAGCCACCAAGTGCTGCGCCTGCCACGCAAGACAGCCGCGGTGTCAACGGCGTCAAGCAGCCCCCATGCAGAGAGTCACCACGTGCTGCGCCTGCCACGCAAAACAGCCGCGGCGTCAACGGCGTCAAGCAGTCCTCCAGAGAGTCACCAAGTGCTGCGCCTGCCACGCAAAACAGCCGCGGCGTCAACGGCGTCAACGGCATCAAACTGCCCCCCAGAGAGTCACCAAGTGCTGCGCCTGCCACGCGAGACAGCCGCGGCGTCAACGGCGTCAACGGCATCAAGCAGCCCTCTAGTAGTCACCAAGTGCTGCGCCTGCCACGCAAGACAGCCGCGGCGTCAACGGCGTCAACGGCGCCAAACTGCCCTCGAGAGAGTCACCAAGTGCTGCAACTGCCACGCGAGACAGCCGCGGCGTCAACGGCGTCAACGGCGTCCACGCGTCAAGCAGCTTCCAGAGAGTCACCAAATGCTGCGCCTGCCACGCAAAACAGCCGCGGCGTCAACGGCGTCAACGGCATCAAACTGCCCCCCAGACAGTCACCAAGTGCTGTGCGCCTGCCACACGAGACAGCCGCGGCGTCAACGGCATCAACGGCGTCAAGCAGCCCTCCAGAGAGTCACCAAGTGCTGCCCCTGCCACGCAACAGAGCCGCGGCGTCAACGGCGTCAGCGGCATCAAACTGCCCCCCGAGAGAGTCACCAAGTGCTGCGCCTGCCACGCGAGACAGCCGCAGCCTCAACGGCGTCAAGCCAAGTGCTGCCCCTGCCACGCAACAGAGCCGCGGCGTCAACGGCGGCAACGGTGTCAAACTGCCCCCGAGAGAGTCACCAAGTGCTGCGCCTGCCACGCGAGACAGCCGCGGCGTCAACGGCGTCAAGGGCGTCAAGCAGGCCCTCCAGAGAGTCACCAAGTGCTGCCCCTGCCACGCAACAGAGCCGCGGCGTCCACAGCGTCAACGGCGTCAAGCAGCCCTCCAGAGAGTCACCAAGTGCTGCGCTTGCCACACAAGACAGCCGCGGCATCAACGGCGTCAAGCAGCCCTGCAGGGAGTCACCAAGTGCTGCGCCTGCCACGCAAAACAGCCGCGGCGTCAACGGCGTCAACGGCATCAAGCAGCCCTCCAGAGAGTCACCACGTGCTGTGCCTGCCACGGAAGACAGCCGCGGCGTCAACGGCATCAACAGCGCCAAGCAGCCCTCCAGAGAGTCACCAAGTGCTGCGCCTGCCACGCGAGACAGCCGCGGCGTCAACGGCGTCAACGGCGTCAAGCAGCCCTCTAGAGAGTCACCAAGTGCTGCGCCTGCCACGCAAGACAGCCACGCCGTCAACGGCGTCAACCGCGTCAAGCGAGACAGCCGCGGCGTCAACGGCGTCAACGGCGTCAAGCAGCCCTCCAGACAGTCACCAAGTGCTGCGCCTGCCACGCAAGACAGCCGCGGCGTCAACAGCGTCAACGGCGTCAAGCAGCCCTCCAGAGAGTCACCACGTGCTGCGCCTGCCACGCGAGACAGCCGCGGCGTCAACGGCGTCAACGGCGTCAAGCAGCCTTCCAGAGAGCCACCAAGTGCACATGCTGCGCCTGCCACACAAGACAGCCACGTCCTCAACGGCGTCAACGGCGTCAAGCAGCCCTCCAGAGAGTCACCACGTGCTGTGCCTGCCACGCAAGACAGCCGCGGCGTCAACAGCGTCAACGGCGTCAAGCAGCCCTCCAGAGAGTCACCACGTGCTGCGCCTGCCACGCGAGACAGCCGCGGCGTCAACGGCGTCAACGGCGTCAAGCAGCCTTCCAGAGAGCCACCAAGTGCACATGCTGCGCCTGCCACACAAGACAGCCACGTCCTCAACGGCGTCAACGGCGTCAAGCAGCCCTCCAGAGAGTCACCACGTGCTGTGCCTGCCACGCAAGACAGCCGCGGCGTCAACGGTGTCAACGGCATCAAGCAGCCGTCCAGAGAGTCAACAAGTGCTGCGCCTGCCACGCGAGACAGCCGCGGCGTCAATGGCGTCAACGGCGTCAAGCAGCCCTCCATGAGTCACCAAGTGCTGCGCCTGCCACGCAAGATGGCCACGGCGTCAACGGCGTCAACGGCGTCAAGCAGCCCTCCATGAGTCACCAAGTGCTGCGCCTGCCACGTGAGACAGCCATGGCGTCAACGGCGTCAACGGCGTCAACGGCGTCAACGGCCTCAAACAGCCCTTCAGAGAGCCACCAAGTGCTGCGCCTGCCACGCAAGACAGCCGCGGCGTCAACGGCGTCAACGGCGTCAAGCAGCACCCAGAGACTTAGGTGTGTCTTCGAAGTTGTGGCAGTTATAACATAGGTTATAAGTAAGTTATGCAAGTTATGAAAGGTATACTTTATGAACTTATTTTGAAGTTACGTTTTTGTAATTTTCACTCTTCAAAAAAAGTGTTTGCAAACTTGATTAAAAGCGGATCATCCGCTCCAAAAGAACATGTTCGAAGCTCAAAGGCAAATCATTTGGAGCCTCATACCACATGGCTTTGTAAACCATGGCTTCTAAATCACTTTGTTTTGAGCTGTTGCCAAATCCTGCAAAAAGTACAGAATGACAAAGATGATGATAGACCACAAGTTGGTATACGATTGGTATACGGCCTCTCCTGGCGATCACCTGTGCTCGGTATACGCTTGGTATACGGGAAATTTTCCTTTTGGTATACTGTTGGTATACGGGGCTGTCCTTTTTGGTATACGTGTTGACTTCTTTACATACAGCTTGGTATACGGGCTCTCTCTGGTTCGGTATACGCGCGGTATACGCTGGTATACGGTGTTCCTGTCTTTCCGGTATATGGAAAGTATACGCTGGTATACGGTGATCCCCTGTTACATGTAGGTTTGACATGAAAAACAGATAACATGCAAACGCTTCTGCTGTTAACATCACCTGACATGTGAAAAAGCAAACGAAGTTTAGCGGAGGACCCGCTCCAATTCAAATGCAGCGGTTGGCCCGCTCCCAAGAAAAACGCAACAGGCCTCAACCACTTTTTAGCGGAAGACCCGCTCCAATCTTACAAGAAATTGACAGGTAGCAACAAGTGGGACAAAAAAACAGCCAAACAGAAGTTATGATTTCTAGTTTTTTTAGAAAAAAAGAAGTTACAAGAAAGAAGTATAACTAAGTTAGTAACATCAAGTTACTAAGTTCAACTTATAACTGCCATAACATACGTTATAACCTATGTTATAGAGCTTATAATATATGTTATAACTCACGTTATAACTGCCACAACTTCCAAGACACACCTAAGGAGTCACCACGTGCTGCGCCTGCCACACGAGACAGCCGCGGCGTCAACGGCGTCAAGCAGCGCTCCAGAGAGTCACCAAGTGCTGCGCCTGCCACGCAAAACAGCCGCGGCGTCAACGGCGTCAACGGCATCAAACTGTGTCCCCCAGAGAGTCACCAAGTGCTGCGCCCGCCACGCGAGACAGCCGCGGCGTCAACGGCGTCAACGGCGTCAAGCAGCCCTCCAGAGAGTCACCAAGTGCTGCCCCTGCCACGCAACAGAGCCGCGGCGTCAACGGCATCAAACTGCCCCCGAGAGAGTCACCAAGTGCTGCGCCTGCCACGCGAGACAGCCGCGGCGTCAACGGCGTCAACGGCGACAGAGACAAGTTGATAGAGACAAGTTGATAGAGACAAGTTGATAGAGACATGTTGATAAAACAAGTTGATAGAGACAAGTTGATAGAGACAAGTTGATAAGAGACAGTTGATAGAGACCAGTTCATAGAGACAAGTTGATAGAGACAAGTTGATAGAGTCAATGATAGAGTAAGTTAATAGAGACATGTTGGTAGAGACAAGTTGATAGAGACATGTTGATGGAGACAAGTTGATAGAGACAGTTGATAGAGACAAGCTGATAGAGACAAGTTGATAGAGACAAGTTGATAGAGACATGTTGATGGAGACATGCTGATAGAGACAAGTTGATAAGAGACAAGTTGATAGAGACAAGTTGATAGAGACAAGTTGACAGAGACAAGTTGATAGAGACATTTTGATAGAGACAAGTTTATAGAGACAAGTTGATAGAGACAAGTTGATAGAGACAAGTTGACAGAGACAAGTTGATAGAGACAAGTTGATAGAGACATGTTGATGGAGACATGCTGATAGAGACAAGTTGATAGAGACAAGTTGATAGAGACAAGTTGATAGAGTCAATGATAGAGTAAGTTAATAGAGACATGTTGGTAGAGACAAGTTGATAGAGACAAGTTGATAGAGACGGCGGGCGACGGCGGAGACGGCGGGAGGAGGAGGACGAGGCGGAGGCGGATAGCGAACAAAAAGTTAGACCCCCACACAAAGATGTGGGGAATAATGGCAAATAAAATCAAATATATATATTCTTTGACTTGACAACCAGCAACGCTTGTGAAACGGCGTGTCTTCCGGCAAAAATGCGCGTCAAACACAGATAGGCCCACATGTGTGGGACGGCATGCAAACAATCAGCGAAATTATCCTGCCCTTGTTTTTGAACATGCTTTACTGGTCTTGGAGCACAGGTTCTCTTGTCAGCTACGTCCTGTCAATCCCGACTTGACAGGTGCACAGAATCTCAAGCTGCCCAAGTAAAGTCGAAACATGCCCGGCCCCTCTACGAGCAACTACTGCAACGGAGGTGGAGGTACAGTTTGCAACAAAGATGCTTGGCAATGTTTGAGTGTATTCCCCACCTTGTCATCCCCGTCACTTTCTGCGTCTGCATCGGCAGTAAAGTCGAGCAATTGCTGGTCCTCTTTGCATCCAACTGCACTCTGAAAATTTGTTACGATGAAAGCAGTCCCAAGTTCCATTCAACTAGTGGGCATGTGGTTGCAAAATGTTACAAACTGGTCCAAAGTGCCAACGTTGTTGAATACGTGGGAATACAAACTTGCAAGGGTTTATCGCGACCTCTTCGATGAGGAACCGATAGAACTCAGGATCTTTTTCCTGCACTGCGGAACGCAAACAATTGGACTGAACGCTGAAGATTTGAATCTACTGTCATCTCCTGCCAGCCAAGTAAGAAACCATTTTTACATATTTTTACTAACCTGTGGTACATTTGCGCTGGGCGACAAGGGCAACTCATGGAGGCGAGTCGATGCCTTGACCAATTCTGAAACCGAGAGGCACAGATTTAACGATTCAATGGGCTCCTTGATGGCCTGCAACTCCTGTTTGTGACGTTGGGCTTCGCCTGACGTAACCCCTGCACAATCACCGACTACCACCTTAGATTTACAGTAGTTTTCTCTCTCTTCAAAAAAATCTAGAAAAAACATGTGTTCCCTCCTGGGAGCTTCGGAAGGCAGCAACTCAGCAATCGTCCGTGATGAACGTGCAGTTGATGCTACCCATATGGGGGAAGATAATGATGTAAGTTCCCCCCCTAAATCTGGCATACTGCATACATATGCAGAGAATGCCGCGCACAGGTATTGGCTCGCTTCTTTAAAAAACTGGGGGCTGCCTATCAGCTTGGTGCCGAGATATCAAGCACTCAGAGGTGAATGGCTCCTCACTTGCAAAGATCCGCCAACGAAGGCAGCCTTACCAAACCAACACATGTTTGATTCGGCATTTCTTGACAAATCTTCTGAGGAAAAGGCTGCCAACTTGGGTCAACATCAACATCAACATCTCCACCAACCATAAAGTCTTACCAGCAGAGTGCCCGCACGAGGCGGGGGCGGAAGTTTCAAAAAAGGAAAGTGACGAACTTTGAAGAGTCACGGGGAGAGTACGTGACAGTCTCCCATTTTGACTGCCGCACCCCGAGATGCAATATCCCAGCCGGCCGCCTTGCTTCTTTGTTGCTTGTTTTGCTCCTTTTCCCTTGGCAACCTCGAGTCGCGAAATCAAAACGGACAGGTAAAAGAACGTAACAGTGGAGACCTTGAAAGTTAGAGCACGCAAATTTCGGCCATCAAACCAATCTCTCAGGATGGCAAAACTAAAGCTGAAAACGCATTAAAATATTTAAAATCGAATTTATCTAATTGCCCAGAGAGCTCCAAGAAAGGATAGAGGGCAGGTCAAAATGAAAGAAGGATGGAAATCAAGGGGCAGCAAACGATGTGAAACCAAGGACAAAAATCTATCTGACAGAAGTCTGGCTGAGACTTCGCAATGCATCAATACAAAATGAAATCTGAAACGGTCATGGCATAGGATCAGTCAAGTTGGCTTGTAGGATTGACTGTAGGCACGCCATGTATCCATGGCAAGTATCCATGTCTGGCTCGTGGGATTTTCAAGTTTTGAGGAAAATTGGGGGAAAATTCAGGAAAGTTCAGAAATATCATTTTTCAAACCTGTCCATTTCAAACCCTGCCATCTCAGACCCCCCTATGACAATCCTTGAAATAGGAGAATCGTAAGAGAATCATAGAAGAATCGTACTATATTGTACTGTGCAATTCCACTACACGAACAGGGTGTCAAAGATCGGCCAGGCATGAGTCACATTGAAATACTTTCACGCAACAAACACATTGCTTCCAATCGCGATCGTGGGCGACATGACAAGTACCATGGTGCCGATCTTTTCATTGAGAAATGTTTCAATGACCCTTCTTCAAGATTTCCTTTCAAGCGCCTTGCGCGCCTTTCGCACCATGGCTTGAAGGCGTGCAAAGCTAATATGCTATGGGCGGTGCATGAGCTGCATGCGGTGCATTGGATGCATGTGTCTATGATCCTCTGTGATGTTTGTGTGTGTGTGTTTGTCAATACAGGCATCAAGGCCGTCTCTGATTCGATGGTGTTGCAGGGTTGGGCAAAGTGCCCAGCAGGAACAATGAAATTCAGTGATCTGTGAATTCTTGAAACTCTACTTCAAGGCCTTAAGTTTTCAAAAGACATGGGCGCTGAAAAATCTTGCCCCTGGTATTGAATGTTTAGTGGCCTGTGTGATGTTGACGAGATGGTCCGAGCCAATCGCTGTAGAACCCCGTCCCTCTTCCTGCGTTCAGGTAGCATTGCAACTTTCAAACACCAAGCAATAGATAATCGAGGTGATAATCCATGAGAGCGCGCCGCTGAGATTTTACAAGCTTCCTCGGTTTGCCTTTGAAGATTTCTTCGCCTTTGGCCCCTGTATTCATTTTGTACTCTAATTGTTGCGGGGCTTCTACCATGAAGAGGTACAAGCAGGTGTGGGTCTTGCAAGTGTGTCATTTTCCTCTTGTTGTCGAGTTCATCTGGGAGTTTGGTGACATGTTGCAAAATGCTGGAATTACCAATGCGCTCACCTTTCGCGAGAGCACATGCTATACTGTACAGCTTGGCAGTGTCAAGCGGACTCAAACCTCTTCAGGAGCCGCTGGTTGTCAGTGCACTTTCTCAGCTCAGTTGCTCCTCTTCAGGAAAGCCTTCTTCTGGCATTGCTTCTTCCGGCATGCCTTCTGCGTATTCTTCACCTCCAATTCCCGTGACTACAGAATCTTGCTTGAACCTTTTGACATCTTGAGTGACACATCTTCCCAATTTTACAGTTGTGAGTAGATAGAAGAGAGAACCTTTGTGGGTTTGCACCGTCATCAAAATCACCTCGTCATGTCCAAGCATCATTTTGGCTCCATCGTTGTTTGGAGACTGCAGGCTTTTTCAGCTTCTACTGTTGAAGGACCTCTATCTGCACCACACCCACTACGAATGAAGGCAGGATGCTCGGAATTGCTGTGGCCAGTGTCTTGCCACTGCCATTGAAGTCCCCAACAGGAGCTCAGTCAGGAGCTCTCAAACAAAACTCAATGCCTGATCAGAAATGATGAATGGATGCAAATAGGAAGTTTCTGAACAACATTTCGTAATGTATCTCAGATCAAAGCTTCGGTAGCAACACAAGGCTTTGCAATGCATAGAGATAGCGAAAGACTCGCAAGATCAGCTGGCTTTAGCGGTATATGCGGTATGTTTCCCGAATGCGTAGCGAAGGGTTCCCGTTTATAATCTGGGGATCTGGGGGCTGGACCCTTGTTCGCTGCCAGTTGGTCGTCGCGTCGTTTTTCGCGTCGTTTTCGAGTCGTTTTCGCGTCGTTAATTCCGTGTCTATGGGGAAAGTTGCAAAACCTTGGTCGTTTTGCTGCGCTCACGTCGCCGTGTCTATGGGGGAAGCTGCAAAACCTCAGTCTCTGCTTCTCCTCTGCCGTCGCCGTGTCTATGGGGGAAGCTGCAAAACCTCAGTCTGTGCTTGTATGGGGGAAGCTGCAAAACTTCGTTCGTTTTGCTGCGCTTCTGCGTGTCTATGGGGAAAACTGCAAAACCTCAGTCTCTGCTTGTTGTTTCATTTTTTCCCGAATGCGTAGCGAAGGGTTCCCGTTTATAGTCTGGGGATCTTGGGGCTGGACCCTTGTTTACCTCGAGTGGCTCGTCGCGTCGTCGTCGCATCGTTAATTCCGTCTCTATTGGGGAAGCTGCAAAACCTCTCCTTTTTGAAGGTTTCCACGCAAGTTGTCATGTCATTTTGCGTGGCAGGCGTGGCGCTTTGTGACATTCCAACCTTTTTGATAACGTGTCGAAAGTGTCAAAATTGGAGGACGTCTCCCAGGAAATGCTCGTTTTGCTGCGCCCATGTGTCTCGTCTCGGGTCTCTGGTTTTCCTGTGGCGTCGCCGTGTCTATAGGGGAAGCTGCAAAAGTAGTACTGGGAAGTGCTTTGTGCAAGCTTTGTAGTACACAGTAGTACTGGGAAGTGTTTTGTGAAAGCTTTGTAGTACAAAGTACTACTGGGAAGTGCTTTGTGCAAGCTTTGTGGCACAACAAATCTGTACATGTGTTCCCGCAAAAGACAACCCACCACGTATGGGAAGGTGTGGAAAAGAAAGCGCTTCCCTTGACATGTGCGAGTCAATCCGCACAGCCCCGTAAATGCTGGACAAACAAAGGGGAAACAGTCAGGCAAGCACGGACCATGCGAGGCAATCCTCATGTCCCATTATATGCGGGGACAAGAAGTTGGGCGGCAGAGCCAGAAAGGTTAAAGAGGCATCAGCCAGGAAAAACACAACCAGGAGCTCGGGATCATGACCATGAATCTGAAGAAAAAAGTGAGAAGTGGGCAAAATCGAGCAACTACTGCTACCAGGCGCGGATCACTCCACCTCAGAAGATGACTGCCACGGTGGGAAGTGTCAACGAGCAACTCCCTTGCTGCGACGCCGCAGGGCGGCACGAGCCCGAAAAGAACGAATTGCCACCCCCAACTCTTGGAGGAGAAGGGAGGAACAAGTTGCATGGGTCCTCCCCTGATTGGGCTGCAACGGCTTGGGCGACGTGCTTCAGCAAAATCATGGCGTCAGCATCCCAAGCACCTGTGCTTTCAGCAACCATGGGGATAAAGCAGACTCCTTGTGCGCGGCACGCCTCTGCACTTTGAAGGTGAGCTTCTTTGTGCCGGGCATATGCCGCGGCAGCAGCCAAGGGTTTCTGGCTCGCCTGGGCGAGGGTCTCCTGCCGCTGTTGAGCCGTGATGGCGAAATCTAGGGCAGAAGGCAGCAAAGGCTGGCAAGAAAACATCGGCAGGGCGCCGGCGAGCACTGTGACATCTGTGACTATCCTCAGGGCTTTGCGGAAGCAAAAGGCCCGGCCGTTCCCGTTCCGGCCTGAGGCCAGCCCGGTGTGCCCAAGCACAGACAATGTCTCGGACAACATAGTGGCGTTGAGTGCGCTCGCCGCCGGCCACACGCATCCCCGCATGGTAGTTGTGGATGTCCAAAACCCCATCACAAAGCGGGCACCACGCATCCGTGTCAGCATCAGGGATCTGCAGTCGGGCTCGAAGCTCGGAAATAAAGGCTGCAGGTTCCATGCGGGTGCGGCCTGAAGGTATGGCAGCAAGAAAAGCTCGGCCTCCAACGGAGGCTTCTGAGAGCAGGGTTGCGCGTCCAGCAGGGGTAGCGTTGCCGAGCTGTTCCTGCCAGCCAGCATTGTCTAGCCGCTGGGACAGGGCGTGTTGCTTGCTGGAAAGGATATCGTCCAAGTTGATGTTAGCCGCAGGCTCAAGTTTGGAATTGAAGCAAGCGAGGGCCTCAACAACTTCGGGGCAAGACTTGGCCTCATTGGGACAGAAGGTAACATCCAGCTCGGGGCCAGCCTGGAGGGCAGATGCCCAGGACGCCAGAAAAGCAGCGGAGGCATGGAGTGGAGTGGAACGAAGGCCTAAGCCGCCATGGCCCAGCCCCAAAGCAGCCTGCTTCCATTGCAAAGCGTTGGGGTGTAGCCCGGTGAAATCACCGAAGCTACGACGAACCATGCCGTCGAACATGCGCAACGCTGCCGTTTGGGGGACGGCGGGGTTGCAATGCGAAGCCAGCGCAGGCCCGCAGGAGCCGCAATCCAACTTGGGGGTCTTCCAGCTCACCCAAAGCGTCAAGCAAGTCACCAGCTTTGGCGGCCCGTTCCACCGTGTGCGAATGGATGAAGCTATCTTCACCGATGGCAGCCCCCAAGAGCTCAAAGTTGCGGGCGACGCGGCAGCTTCCATCAGCGTGGGTGCGGAGCAAAGCATCCGGAAAATGGCAATGGAGGGCCGCAACGTCCAAGCGACCAACAGCAATCAGCTCAGATTTGGCGAGGTTCAGGCGGCCCAATGTTGGCGGCTCGCGCTTCAACCAGGCGAAGGGCAGCACTGACGGTGTGGAGGTTGCCAGCAAGGACCCCGTCATCCAGGTAGTGCACAGCGATGTCCAGCCCTGCATTGCGAAGGTCCTGAGCCAAGGGTTGCAAAGCAGCTGCAAAAAGGAGCGGCCCAAGACCCCGGTGCAGGAGTCAACAGCCCAGTCATCAAATTGCAGCCTGGTCGGCTGCTGGTAACACCAAGTGGCCCAACGCGCCAGAGCTGGAAAAGGGTCCCGAATGGCAGAAGGAACGGCATCGCGACTCACAGTGTTGAAAGCATTGGTGAAGTCAAGCTTGAGGTCTGGTGTCTGCGGTGCCAAGCACGCACCGTATGAATTGCTTTTTCAGCGCCCCCCGAGACAGCAACGCGGCCAGAAGAAGGACTGGGCATCATTCCGCACCAAGCCCATCAGGCACTTGCCGGTCAGTCTACGCAGGATCTCCCCCACTGCTATTGGCCGAACCCCGCCCTGAGGTTTGGGGAGGGCAACATGCCCCGCGCCGGCCAACACCGGGGCTAAGAAGTCTGGGGCTCTTCCTTGAGCTAGCAAGTTCACAACAGCGGTGAGCTGGGAGAGGAAAGCGTCGCTGCTGCCGGCCACATTCGCATCTTTCAGGTGTTGGACGCGGAGTCCACGAGGCCCAGGCGCGGTGTCAGGGGGGAAAAGCCCGGAGGCACCGTGCAACGGCTTCCGGCGCAATCTCTGGTGCGTGAGGGAGATCATTCATGGCACCGACCCTGGGTGGAGGCTGTTGTGGATGAAGGGCTCGCAAGGCCTCAGCAGTTGCGGCGGTTGGTGGGCACAGCCCTTTGGACAGAAGAGCTGCGCAAGCCTTGCGATCGAACCCCTCACGGGCCAAGCCAGTGGCCAAAGCCTTTCGTTGTTCAGGCTCAAGCAGTCCACGCCCCCGCTGCAACGCAGTACGGGAGTCCCAAAGGGATAGCCGTTCCCCCTCCTGCCAACGGTGCAAGCGGTCCAAGGTGTATGCCTGTGGCTTTTCGATGTTGCCTGCCGCCTCGGGTGGGGCATGCAAAGTTCATGCCAAGCTTTGTGATCATTGCGATGGGCGACAGTAGCACAGGCCCGAGTCAAGACCTGAGCCCAAGCATGGCGAGCGGCGCTATAGGGACATGCCGCAGGGTGGCAGTCTTGGCAGCTTGGATGGCTGAAAGGGATATATAGGAGTTGCAAGCCGTCGGTGTCCATTGGGATGGCAGCGCGGGTGGACCCCGTGGGCTTGGGAGACATTGAGACAGCAAACAAGACAGCGAGTGCGGCTGTGGGAATGGAGCCGGGCAATTGGCACATCCCGTTGCAAGGAGCCAGCAAGGTGCGACCGTGGCCCAGCCCCGGGCCCGAGCTGCGGGCAAGTTGGAACCCGACAGAACACCCGTGGAGGTTGTGACTGGCGAGATGATGGCCTTTCCCGCCCCACAGGTGTGCCAGGGATTCTGGGCCTCCCCAATGCGCCGCCCTCGTTGGGGCCACCCTGCCCAGGTGACGCGGCTGCGGACGAGAACAAGCTGTTCGACGGTGCCAGTGGACAGGCAAACGACGCCAACGCAGCACCGGCTCCCACACAACAGGACGCGGCGTTTCTTGCCACTGGGTGTTCAATGTCTGTGTGGCCGCGAGCCTTTGCCTCCGGTTGAGGGAACGCAGGAGGTGGGGAAGATGAACAAGGGGCAGGCTGCAGTCCTGGGAAGTGGCTGGGACCACCACAAGCTGGAAAGCTGAAGTCTGAGGACGAGGATGGGCACAAAGAGATGCCAAGCCGGCCCAGTCGTGCGAAGGAGAAGCCCAGGTGACGGAGCCATGTGCTCCTAAGACGTGGGACCAAGTACAAGGCACGGAGGGGGTCCCGCTGCAGCCACCAGCAGGCGCCAGCAGAGCGAAAAGCCGCGAGAGGCCAGAGCCCCTCCAAGGGCCCCCCCTCAAGGGGACCCCAACTTAAATGCACTTGAGCCAGAGTACCACAAAGTAGTACTGGGAAGTACTTTGTGCAAACTTTGTAGTACAAAGTAATACTGGGAACTGCTGTGTGCAAGCTTTGTAGTACAAAGTAGTACTGGGAAGTGCTTTGTGCAAGCTTTGTAGTACAAAGTAGTACTGGGAAGTGCTTTGTGCAAGCTTTGTAGTACAAAGTGTAGTACAAAGTAGTGCTGGGAAGTGCTTTGTGCAAGCTTTGTAGTACAAAGTCGTACTGGGAACGACTTTGTGCAAGCTTTGTAGTACAAAGTAGTACTGGGAAGTGCGTTGTGCAAGCTTTGTAGTACAAAGTAGTACTGGGAAGTGCTTTGTGCAAGCTGTGTAGTACAAAGTAGTACTGGGAAGTGCTTTGTGCAAGCTTTGTAGTACAAAGTAGTACTGGGAAGTGCTTTGTGCAAGCTTTGTAGTACAAAGTAGTACTGGGAAGTGCTTTGTGCAAGCTTTGTAGTACAAAGTAGTACTGGGAAGTGCTTTGTGCAAGCTTTGTAGTGCAAAGTAGTACTGGAACGTGGCTTGGGCAAGCTTTGTAGTACAAAGTAGTACTGGGAAGTGCTCTGTGCAGGCTTTGTAGTACAAAGTAGTACTGGGAAGTGCGTTGTGCAAGCTTTGTAGTACAAAGTAGTACTGTGAAGTGCTTTGTGCAAGCTGTGTAGTAGAAAGTAGTTCTGGAACGTGGCTTGGGCAAGCTTTGTAGTACGAAGAAGGACTGGGAAGTGCTTTGTGCAAACTTTGTAGTACAAAGTAGTACTGGGAAGTGCTTTGTGCAAGCTTTGTAGTACAAAGTAGTACTGGGAAGTGCTTTGTGCAAGCTGTGTAGTACAAAGTAGTTCTGGAACGTGGCTTGGGCAAGCTTTGTAGTGCAAAGAAGTACTGGGAAGTGCTTCGTGCAAACTTTGTAGTACAAAGTAGTACTGGGAAGTGCTTTGTGCAAGCTTTGTAGTACAAAGTAGTAGTACTGGGAAGTGCTTTGCAAAGTAGTACTGGGAAGTGCTTTGTACAAGCTTTGTAGTGCAAAGTAGTACTGGAACGTGGCTTGGGCAAGCTTTGTAGTACAAAGTAGTACTGGGAAGTGCTTTGTGCAAGCTTTGTAGTGCAAAGCAGTACTGGGAAGTGCGTTGTGCAAGCTTTGTAGTACAAAGTAGTACTGGGAAGTGCGTTGTGCAAGCTTTGTAGTACAAAGTAGTACTGGGAAGTGCTTTGTGCAAGCTTTGTAGTACAAAGTCGTACTGGGAACGACTTTGTGCAAGCTTTGTAGTACAAAGTAGTACTGGGAAGTGCTTTGTGCAAGCTTTGTAGTACAAAGTAGTACTGGGAAGTGCTTTGTGCAAGCTTTGTAGTACAAAGTAGTACTGGGAAGTGCTTTGTGCAAGCTTTGTAGTGCAAAGTAGTACTGGAACGTGGCTTGGGCAAGCTTTGTAGTACAAAGTAGTACTGGGAAGTGCTCTGTGCAGGCTTTGTAGTACAAAGTAGTACTGGGAAGTGCGTTGTGCAAGCTTTGTAGTACAAAGTAGTACTGTGAAGTGCTTTGTGCAAGCTGTGTAGTAGAAAGTAGTTCTGGAACGTGGCTTGGGCAAGCTTTGTAGTACGAAGAAGGACTGGGAAGTGCTTTGTGCAAACTTTGTAGTACAAAGTAGTACTGGGAAGTGCTTTGTGCAAGCTGTGTAGTACAAAGTAGTACTGAGACGTCTTACACTTTACACTCTGCACTCCACACTACACATTCCACACTTTACACACCCGACACTCCCCACTCCACACTGTACATTCCACACTCGTTGCTTTACACTCCACACTACACACTCTACACTTTCCACTCCACACTCCACACTCTACACTTTCCACTCCACACTGCAGACTCGTAACAGGGGAAATATGTACTATCTTCCAGCGATGTTTTCCATGCGTGTCTTTGTGCGTTAGTTGTGGTGCCTTCGCTGAGACGATATGCGCGCAGGATGCATGAAAAAAAAGGTTCGTTTTCCTATTGCAGAGGTTTTCACTCGTAGTCCAAGAACGTGAATACATTCGGGTTCGTGGCTTCCATCTTGTTTCTTCAATGCCAGGGCCGACAGGCCGACAGGGCACCTTCGGTGTGTTCTTCGGCCTCACCTTCTCCCATTGGCTTCTGAGTCTTTGGCTTTCCATTGATCTGCAAATCTTCAGAAGCCGTGAGCTGTGAAAAACGAGCCCGGAAAGAAGCGAAGGACCAAAACATTGAAAGAACATGAAAGAATTGTTTGAATAATTAAACGCGGGCACAGAATGAAGCAAAGCAAAGATGGAGGTGTGAATCATGGTGAGTTCATGCAATCGTCATGTACTACCTTGACTTCTTCTCTGCATGTGGGCTGCATGTGCCGTTCGTTCAGCAATCTCCAACACTTCTTGTTGCCAACATCCCAAATATATCCAAATCATCTTTGTCAAGTCCGCACAGGATAACAACTGCACCTCCGAAGATTATTCTAGATCATTTTACATCTGCTAGCAGTGAAGGGGGAAACTCGGCTCTGGCCTGCTGATGCCCGCTATTTGTTGCTAACCCGGCTTGGAAGTTCATGCGCAATATCACACCAAATAGACTGACGATAAGTATCAGTACTTCCATTTTATCCAGATGTGGAGTCAAACTGCTCGGGACGCAGGCATAACATGACCTTGCTACGTCAAAACTGGCCCGAAACCCAACAAATCAATACATATTTTGGCAAAATAGTCTCTTGCAATCTCAACCGCGCAATCCACCGTGGCCAAGGTGTTCTGCTACAAAATAGAACCGTATAATCCTGGTGTTCTCTCGACGCAACCACATGGCACTGTTGGCAGCACTGGCGGCATTGCCTTCCCGCTGATTGCTGCAAAAACAGCGCCCTTGGGAAAACCGTAGCGGGTTTGATTTCTATCTGTATTGAAGGATTGGAGGAAGAAATGAAACCGTCAGAAACTATGGCCACTTGAACTGAAAACCTTCAAGGTGAATCAACGCGGAATGTTGCCCATCACAATCGCTGCATAAACACGCAAAAAGTAAGGACATGACCATGATGGCTAAATGCAAAGCAAAGGCTACGCCAATCATTGTAGTCTTTGCGACTCCTCCAGCGGCAAAAACGTCCGTACGAACAACGGTGGTGCCCGGGGAGAATGATGCAAGGTTATCATGCGTACTGAAATTATTCAGAACTTCAAGAAGCGCACGGCATCAAACATCGCCAACATGAACAAAAATGTCCCAAAAAGACCAAACACAACATTAAACAAATATTTTCCCCAACAGCGTAATAGCGTCGGTGTGCACAGGTGCAGGCACCGGGTAAGGTTCAACGAGGTCCGGAGAAGGTTCCGAAAGTTCCCGAGAAGGTCTGGGATTTGGTGCAGAGACAGGTCAGGTTCAACAGGGTTCCGGAAATCCAGAGAAGGTTCCAGGAAGCCCGGGTGCAAAGCCAAGTCAGGTTCAACAGGTTCAACAGGGTTCCGGAGAAGGTTCCGGAGAAGGTCTGGGAGGTTTTGTGCAGAGCCAGGCCAGGTTCAACAGGGTTCCGGAGAAGGTTCCGGAGAAGTTCTTAGGAAGCCTTGGTGCAAAGCCAAATCATGTTCAACGGGTCCCGGAGAAGGTTGCTGAGAAGGTCCCGGAGAAGGGTTTGGGAATCTTTTGTGCAGGGCCAGATCAGTTCAACACGGTTTTGGAAAAGGTTCCGGAGAAGGTCTGGGAGGCTTTGGCGCAGAGCCGGAGA